AAGACTCTCCGTTGGCTTTGGGAATTTTAACACTTTTGCTATTTTTAAGGCAGACCACGGAGGGTTCTCTAGGATGTTTGTGCACAATTAATTTTCTTTTCACAAGTTCCATGATCCGTAATTTCGGGATGCGTCGATCAATCGAGAAAAACTTTTCACCAATTTCTTCGTCAATGAAACATCAACAAATGCCTGTCAAACGGTTTTTTTTTGTTTCAACCACCAGGGGCGCGGTGGTGTATTAAACCGTGCGTCCAGATTTACTTTGAATCGAGCTATAGGCAATAATTTAAAAATAAGTTTGTAATGAATAGCGCATTAATTTTTTTCAGATCTTTCCGAAGTGATTCCTATCACAGCTGAAACGTTGGTTTGAGAACTTCGAACAACTTCTTCAAGTTTCGACGTCCAACAAGCCATCAACATCTCGGCATAATCTGCCAAGGGTACGGCGTATCACTTGCGTCAACCCCGAGGCCCCATCACTGCAGGAGATTGAAGCAGCTATTTTTTTTCCCTTTGGTTTGTTTTTTTCCGTCGATCTTGTTTTCCGTGCTGAGCACCAATGCTACCGACGTGCCAGGAAGGCAGCTCCCACACCTGGACCATAACTATCGACCCATCAACTCATGAACCGGGGACCAACGGCTTTACTTCCCATCCGAAGGAAGGCGTGATCAGAGATGTTATGCCTCAGAACATCCCGGCGGCGCCGACTGGGATTGAACCCAGGCCTGCTGGGGTGAGAGGTAATCACGCTTACCACTACACAACCGGCGCCGTTATTGCAGCAGCTGTCGAAAGTATGAATTCCAACAAGGCTCCAGGGGTCGATCGCATATCAGCAGAGATGCTCAAAGCTGACCCAATTCTATCCACACAAATGTTGCATCAACTAGTCTGTAATATCTGGGACACCGTTACGCAGGGTTTCTTAGTTCCCCAAGAAGGGGGATTTGATTGTGCGCGACAATGGGCGAGGCATCATGTGACTGTGTGTTGTTCTCAAAGTTCTGTGCAAAGTTATCCTGAATCGGATACAGGAGAACATCGGCGCTACTCTCCGGTGGTAGCAGGCAAAATTCCGTGCCGGAAGATCCTGTTTGGCCATATTGTGACGCTCCGCATCATCCTGTAGCAGGTCAACGAATTCCAAGAGTCTTTTTATTTGTTATTCATTGACAACGAAAAAGCTTTCGACCGACTTAATCAAACCAGTTTAGTATCCATACGAAGCATATATTTTGAAGTATTTCACTAAATACATATATAATATACATTAGACATTTCTCTGATGTAGAAGAATTATAGGAAATCTGCAAAACTGATAGATTTAAACCTTTGTTCAAAAACCAGGAATTTTTATAGAAGAAACCAGGAAAACCGGAAAAAAACCACGAATTTAAAATCAGAAATTCATTTGCCACCCTGTATTTAGGATTATATCTGTAAAATCCAAATCTGGCCAAAGCCCAACAAGAAACACCTAAGAATGTATAGAGATAAAGCTCAAGAATACAGTTTTAACTGATGGTACTTTATAAACATCAAGCTGTCCAATATTGGACCCTGCCAACACACGGCGCCCGCACGGTAATGTGGGCCGTCAGCGTTATCCTAACGTAAACTTAATATAGACTGTTCCAGAAAGTATAAGCACACTTTCAAAACAACAAAAAAGTCATGTTTTTTTTAAGTTTTAATAATTTTATTTGGCAAATCATATTTGTATTTGTATTTCAAATGATATTTTACTCTCGTTTAATCAGCCTATTTAATCATAGCCAAGACTCCTAACTTTTCCAAAAACATGACGCATTAACTTCTGCACAGTGGTACTTCCCACCATTTTGACCACTTTTGGCCAATCTTTTTTGAATTTTTGGATGTCGTCCGCTGGTTTTATTAATTTTCGAAGCTTTGCTTTGGTTAAAGCCCAAAAAGTCTCGAGTGGCCGTGCCTCCGGGCAGTTCGGCGGATTCATGTCTTTCGGCACGAAACATACATTTTGACTTTTGTATCATTCTAAAGTGTCCCTTGCGTCCCTTGTTGATTGACGCCAAATCAGGCCAAAATACTACTTGACCTTCGTGCTGCCTGATCATCGGCAACAATCGCTTCTGGAGACATTCCTTAACGTATTTCTGAGTGTTCATCGTCTCCGTTGTGATGTTCGGACTAGATGTTTTACCACACTCGCAAACCATAACCTTCTTACCGAATTTTTCGGTAAAAATTGCTTTCTCCGTTTCGGGGATGTCCTTGCCTTCGCTTACAGTATAGAATTGTGGTTCGGGAAGCGTTTTGTAATCTAGTTTCACGTACGTTTCGTCGTCCATTATTATACACCCAGAATTTCGACACAATAATGAATCGTAGAGTTTGCGGGCCCGTGGTTTCACGGACGTGGCCTGTTTTGGGTTCCTTTTGGGTTTTTTCTGCTTCCGGTATGTTTTTAGCCCAAGTCTTTCTTTGGCACGCATGACGTTACTCGTCGAGGTCCCTAGTTTTTTTTTCGCAACATCCCGAACGGAAGTCGCTGATTTTTGTTTGTAGGCATCCCTGATCTTTTTATCGATATCCGGACTTAAAGGACCGAATTTCCGGCCACTCTTCGGCGCATCTTCAAACGTACACTGTTCTCTATATTTTTTAATCGCAGTTCGTACCACTCCGACGCTTACACCCTCTTCCTTGGCCAATTTTCTCAAGGAGAGTCCGCTCACAGTGCACCATTTGTGCACGATACTTTTTCGAGGTTCCGGAGTAAGACCATGCATTTTGACAGGAAACACAAAACTGAGCACTTTTTTGATGCTATGTCATTCAGAAATGAGCAAACAAAAGGACGCTACCAAAACATGTTGAAATATTTCATTATATTCAAAGTGACCGTTAAAATAAGGTGTGCTTATACTTTCTGGAACAGCCATATGCCCGTACATGCCCGAAACCCATCCACCTCACAAAATCAAATAAAAATCCAAAAAGCAACAATTCTGTAATCATTTGGCATCCACTCTTATTTATGATGGTTTTATAATGGCAATGAATTATCCATTTAGTTTAAATACAGCATTTCGCAGTGTAAAACGTTCCTGATTAGTAGTTCACCTTTTCGCTGATTTAAAAACCTTTTACAGTACGGCGAGAAGTCAAAAATTGTCTTGTTTCAACATTAAATTTAAAGTAGTTCTCAATCCCACCATAAAACTGTTCTATAAATCAATCATAAACTTCATTAGCAATTTTTTTATTAATGTCTTGATAAAATACTCTATAAACCTGTTCTATCATTACAGAAGCAATCATAAAACCATTAGGTTTTAAATGAGAGCAAAAGGCATATATTGTTGCCGTTTAGGATTTTAAAAGTGTATAATAAAATCTCTTCTGTTTATAAATTGAACTTTAAGGATGGATCCTCATAGTGAATAAAAAAACAAATTTATGACAAGGATATCTCGAAGGATAAACGAAGTTGAAGGAAAAATTCAAGCTATGCTAACGACCGAAGGGAAGTCGATTTTAGTAAAATTTTGTTCTTTAGAAGAAACAGCACGTCCGACGGAACGGGTTCCATCAACGACTGAGCATCTGGTGGAGAGTAGTGAAGTAAGCGTGGTCCTCAAATTCGTAAAACATTGTCAAACAGCCTGAAAACAGACCAGCCTTCTCCAGACCTTGCAAATAGATGAAGATCGGAATAACTTGCGTCAGTACCGATAGCAATCCACTGAAACTGTCAGTTAGCGGACACTAGTTGGTTTGCGATCCATAGCTGCGGTTTTGTTCGGCGAAAGGGTCATCACTTGGAAAAACAAAATCATTCAACCGTACATTCCTGCATCGTTTGATGGTGCACTTCCAGAACCATCCGGAAGAAGAAGATCTTTTCGGGAATGATCAAGGTTACAGCTGTGCAAAATGCGAAATGTTGTGAACACCTTCTGAGTAACTGTTTCCAAGCCATCGGGAGAGAACCGCCTGCAAGAACGCTGATTCGCACAGCGCAACTATCGAAAGATAAACAAACTTTGACGTTTAACATTGTGTAGCCAACATTGCCGCCATAAATGCTGCCATAAATCTGAACGGATTGGGATCAAGCAAAATGACTTTAGATAAATTCAATACAGTCTACAAGTTTTCTTCATAAAAGCCAATTCAAAACCTTATGAATTTGATAAGGATTTCTTGAAAGCAAAATAACTTTGTCACAAATGGCCCATGAAAACAACCTTTATGCCTCCGCCATATTACAATTCTTTTGTTTGTTTTTTACAATCTTCGATGTTCAATCTATATTTCCTTGGATATAACTTTATTTTAGTCAATTTAGCAATGAGAAATATTTAGAATGCAAAAATCATGAGAAATAAAAATCTCGGCTAAGCTTGATGACGAGAGGTAACCTCTACCTGTGGGTGCAAACTAGTTATGCATAATTTTCCATGAAAACATCTATGATCCATACCGAAATAATAACAGTTAGTTTGCAAACACATTTTCTTACATGTTTCAAGCAAAAGTTTCCACGGGAAATTATGAGTTTTTCTTTATGGACCGATTTGCCCCAAAAACGTCTGTTTTACTTGGAGAATTTGGAAACTATCCTCCTTCTAGTAGTTCTCACTTCGAAATGTAGGTAGCGAAAGCTTGGAAAAGTTTCACTGCAAGACGCCAATTACAAAGGCACCTGTTTCCCCTATTCGCATTGCGCTTACAACATTCACTACCAGGGCGGCGCTACATTGCGTAGAGAAAAGCACAAAACACTACTAGCGCCATCGCTGCTTTCAACATAGCAACCAGACATGCGAATCGTTCGCTGAAAGCTTTCCATTCGGGTGTTTATCGCTTCGCGGGTGGTGGAATGGGACAGACAAAAAGCTGTCGACTCGTTTAAATCCTGGTATAATTGAGTCCATATTCCCTATGGGTTTTGTTCTTTTCTGCTCTACCGTAAAGCCACATCTCGCTCCGTTGCGAGCTATCGGTTTTCAGTTTTCAGTTTTTCATTTATTACACATTGTTTCCTCTGATGATTTGCTGTTCACTAGTTTGGAATTTTAGATCACTGCACAACATTTTGCATACCTAGGTTTCCTTGCCTACCAAGTTGTTTGTCTTCTTTTTTTCACGTCTGTTGTTCTGATGCTGTTTTTTTGCAATTTATGAGAATGATCGGATTTTGTATGCTTCCAGTTATCGTGGTGACTGAATACAAAATTTTACTGATAAAAATAGGTTAATTTTTGTTTTGCTCTTGCTTCCTACGCCATCGTCGTACCAGTTTTGCCACACCGATGCACCATTTTATGCATGCATGCAAGGGTGCTGTTGGTTCTATTTTATGCAAGTTTGTGTTTTAGTAATTCAATGTCTCATACAAATTGATTCTCGTAGCTTAGAACTTTGCTCATACACTCATTGGTTGTGGTTTTGTTTCATAGGTTTTCTTTTTCTAACACATCTCAGCGTAACTTTTTATCAATGTATGTATGCAATCCATGTATGTGTGTGAGTGTGTTTTCGATTTCAAATCTCATCGGTTCACTTTGGAAAATAGAATAGCATTAGTTATGGTTTTTCGCATATTTTACAAAATAATAGTACAAAAACGATAGCGACTCTCTTCCGGAAGGAAGCCTCATCCCGAAAGAGCATCGATGAATGCAGGTTCAGAATAAAAAATAAGTTGGAAAAGTTTCGTTTTTGGCAAATGATAGTGCTAATGGTACAAAACGGGTTAACGTATCTTCGAATTTGTTTGTGTTTTTTGTTTTCCAGATTTTAAAAGAAAGTTAGATTATCTAAACTTACATAACAACTAAACGTAATGTTTTTCTTCCCTACTGTTCCCTCAATAGCTGGCGCGAACGCGTGGCCATTTTTCCGGCGTTACTTTGTGTGTTTCGCTTTAGTCCGAATATATAGATCCAGCTACGGAGCAGTTTCTAGTGTAAATAATAATTACTATTAACCGACCAAGTCTATCTCTCAATTTTTACCCAAAAAACGAAAGAAGCATTGATTCTGACTAATTGGAAAAATTGGTATTTCCCTTCTCTTGCTCTCCTTTCGTCTCGCTCATCTTTGCTAAAAATATACCCTAGACAGATTTGTTTGCTTAACCTCAAAAAACGTTAGATTTACATACACAGATAGGCGCGGCTAATTTTTCTTCTTCTTCGGTTTTCCACCTTTCCTTAAGCTAGAGTATATCCTTTCCGTTTTGCTTCACAATCCTTTCTGGCTTCCCTTGATTCTTGTGGTTTCATTTTCCCTTTCCATTTATTGTACATCCATCTTAATAAAAAAAGAAAATCCTTCCGCTCTTCCGTTCACTTCCCATTTCGCATTCGCGCGCTCTCGCTCTCTCACTGTTTCCATTTTTTTTTCGTTTATCCCTAACCGCAATCGGTGTACATTTTAAGTTACCATTAATTATTATCATTACATTTAATATGTATATAATTTCCAGTTTGTTTTCCAGGATTTAGTTTTTTTCTTGCTCAAACCGTTCTTTTTTTTCGCCAGCCATAATTGCTCAACTGCAATCGGATTTCATTTTCTTTTAAGATATGAAAACGAAAACCGCGAATTCACCTGCCTAACCGAGCTGATAGATCGATTTTCCGGCTTCTGTCCGCTCTGGCCCTTCCGTTTGCAAAAATTGATTTACCATTACAATTAATTAATTATATTTACGAATTAAAGACGACGGGAGGTAGGGGGGAAGGGGGTTTGGACTGTTTGCGTTTTTGGGGAATGAGGTGAAGGTGGTGGAGGTGGTGGGAGTGGGGTTTTGGTTAAAATTACGCCTTTAATGCCACTTCTATAATAATGTACAACAGCAGTAACTCTTCTTCTGGCGCTTCTCGGAGGTCATGTTCATTTCCCGGACGACGGTGGCGAACACTTCGTTCACGTTGATTCGGTCCTTGGCGGAGGCTTCGATGAACGGACAGTCCCACAGCTCGGCGAGGGCGCTTCCTAGAATGGGAGGAGAGAGCTGATTAGTTGATGCGAATAGAGTTTGCGAACGATGGGGCAAATATTTGAGGCTATGTTAAGGTACAGCAATGCGCTCAAAAGATACAGAAAGGCATATACATAGATTGTTGATCGATAAGAGCTACCGTAGCTTGAATAGCTAAAATTGTAATTAACCGATTCCACCGGGTCATACGTGACCTTTGTATGCTAAACATCTCTGTTTAAAGATAATCATATAGTTTCTTGAGCAATATTGTAATATTGAACGATTCTTTGGTCTACCAACTGGTGAACTGGTCGCAAGCAGCTCTTTGTTGCAACCAGGAACGATCTGGTACAGAATCTCCCACATGCACATATTTGTAGTGGTAGTGGATCGCATGCGACCCAAGGGGTGGCCACTCTACACACTCATTTTGCGCCAACATTTTTTTTCTCAGTGTGCCGGCAGTGCTGAGAGTACCAGTCATCAGACTGACATTATTTTGTTTGTGAATAATGGCATGTTTGGCAACCCGGTTTATTTGACAGTTCAAATGCTTTGTTTTGAAGCAACAACACAACTAGCAGTGGAATTCGAACCAAGAGACGATTATCCAGTAGGACATGCTCATACCGGACAAACTGGCCCGACCGGAAGATGGCAATCAAGTTCCTCAGACCGCTCAACAAAGACAACATCGTAACGCATTCTGATAGCCTTCAAAATTTACAGCCGCTGCAACAAGCTTCTACTGATGTTTCATCCGCTAGAACGGGCTCACACTATCTATTCGTACCAGCCGTCGTTGCATTTTGGAAAGCAAGATTGTTTGCCTGAAGTTGACGAAAGCGTGAAGCTGGTCATCAATCAGGCACGGGAGAAGCTCTACTGTGGATCTAAATTGGCTGCGGAGACGATTGCTACTTGACAACAGACCGCAATAACGTGGAAGCACGGTTCGAAGTGGTCAAATCCTCCAGTCTTCGACGTTTTAAGCGTCCGTCACTACCAGTACCACCGGAACGGCCATGTGCACGTTGGAGCAACAGTCATCGAAAGCCATCATCTCGCAGTCACAGCAAAATTAAAGCAAACTTATATTAGCCTAGATGATTTCGACTGTTCTCCCCGTGGTGGTTTGTTTGTTGAAACGCGAGAGGATGAATACCGATATCGGGAGTACACCGGAATGAATTTGCCAGGAGCGTGGATGAAGCTTTCTACACAGATGGACGATGAAATGGCGGGTGTATTTAGGCAAAAATAACAGCTTGATCATCCTGGTCCTGGTAGATCGAATGTTTTGACATAAGACCGTAGTCAGCTGTTCTCTTATTTTCAACGCAGTATCGATTGCCTTGATTTTGATGTACTTATTAACTGCTACTTATAGTGTACTGCTTCGGACAGACGCACCTTTCGTCACGTTTTGCCTATACAGGGCGGACTCGATTATCCGGAGTCTTGAAAAAAAATTCACTCCGGATAATCGAGCCCTCCGGATAATCGAGCCATAAAAAAAAAATTTTTTTTGGTCTTATGTGATCTCATTTAATGTTTTTAGTGGTCCCATTGAACGCTATTGAAGAATTATGGAATTGGACCGCTGGTTGTGTAGATATGGCCGGAACAAGTTCCGGCGTTTATGGGTCATGAGGCTAAATTTGACTTGAAAGGAACAAAACCCATTAAGCGACACATCAAATTAAATCAAAATTTGATATCAAGATCAATGGTGGAAAATATTAAGAACCTTGGACCATATTGGCCACTTCCGGACAAGCTCCAGGAGCCCCGGGAAAGTGACCAGAATCGGAATTGGATAATAACCTATTATGAGGCACATTAAAATCTCAAGATCCTGACCAGTTAGAAAATTACTGTTTTCGGCAAAGTTGTTCTAGAGATCATAATCTTTTCGCTGGTGGAGAGTAATTCAGAATTTTCTCACTACGTAGCGCTAGAATACATGTGAAATTATCGCATGTGATATATCTCGAGATCATGACCAGATAGAAAATTACTGTCGTCGACAAAGTTGTTCAGAAGGTCAAGGCCTTTTCGTTGGTGGACAGTAGTTCAGCGTTTTCTCACTTCGCGGCACTAGTATACATGTAAAATTCTTGCAAATATATAAAATATTTCTAGATCCTTACCATATAAAAAGTTACTGTCTTCGGCAAAGTTTTTTCGTGAAGTCCAGATCTTTTTGTTGGTGGAGTAGTTCAGAAAATTCTTACCAAGTGGCGCTAGTATATACATGCAATTTTCGCATATACAATAGCTCGAGATCCTGAGCAGTACAAAGTTTCTGTTTTCGGCAAACTTGTTCAGGGGGTCAAGACTTTTTGGCTCGTGGACAGTAGTCTAGAAATTTTTCACCAAATTGCGCTAGTAAACGTGTACAATTCTCGCGTATGCTAAGCTCGAGATTCTGAACAGGTAGAAAATTGCGGTCTTGGAAAAAGTTGTTCAAGATGTCAATGCCTATTGCTTGGTGCACAATAGTTCCGAATTTTTACACTACGTGGCGCTAGAATACACGTGAAATTCTCGTATGTGATTTTTTTTCGAGATCCTGACCTGATAGTAAGTTACTGTCTACAACAAAGTTATTCAGGAGGTCAAAGTCTTTTGGCTGGTGAACAAAAGTTCAGAATTTTCTCATAAACTCTAGGCTTTAAACTCCTGAACAACTTTGGTCAAGACAGTAACTTTCTATCTGGTCAAGAACGTGAGATATTTTATATGCGAGAATTTCACATGTATACTATTGAACTACTGTCCACCAGCCAAAAGACCTTGACCTCCTGAACAACTTTCTATCTGATCAGGATCTCGAAATATAACATATGCGAGAAGTGTACATGTATACTAACGCCACGTGGTGAGAAAAGTATTAACTACTGTTTACCAGCCAAAAAGTCTTGACCCCCTAAACAACTTTGCCGAAGACAGCAACTTTCTAGCTGATCAAGATCTCGAGCTATTGAATATGGGAGAAAGGCACGTATATACTAGCCCCGCATAGTGAGAAATTTCTAAACTTTTGTCACCCAACAAAAAGATCTTGATTTACTGAAAAACTTTGCCGAATACATTTACTTTCTATCTGGTCAGGATCTAGAGATATTTTATATGCAAGAGTTTCATATCTATAGTAGCACCGCAAAGTGAGAAAACTCTGAACTACTGTCCACCTGTGAAAAAGCCTTGACATCCTGAACAACTATGCCGAAGACAGTACCTTTGTATCTGGTTGGGAACTCGAGACATTTTACATAAGAATTTCACGTGTATACTCGCGTCGCGTAGTGAGCAAATTCTGAACTATTGAGCACCAAGCAATAGGCTTTGATCTCCTGAAAAACTTTGTGAAAGACAGTAACTTTTTATCTGGTCAGGATCCCGAGATATATCACAAGCGAGAATTTCATATGTATACTAGCGCTACGTAGTGAGAAAATTCTGAACTACTGTCCGCCATCGACAAGACTATGATCTCCAGAACAACTTTGTCAGAGACAGTAACTTTCTATTTTGTCAGAATCTTGATTTATTCCATGTTGTAATCAATTAAGTCAAATCCCACGTAGTATGGTCACAGTTTTTGCGGTTTCTATTTACATTTTCCCTATTATCCGCATTTTTTAGGTGTTAACTGTAATCAAAGTTTAGCTTGTTTAGATCAAAACAAGTTTTTTGAGGAATACTCGTTGGTTTCAGATCGTTACCAATCGACAGCAACAAAATGGCAATGGAAAACTCATGTGTGCGGTACAAAGTACAACAGCGCGAGTAACGGAGGCCCTTTGGTACATTTTTTTTACGGATCTTCAAAAATTTTGTTCGTTTGCCATATCCCCCCCCCCCTGAGCCGTGACGTTATTAGTGAACGGACCATCATGGGATTTAATTTTTGTATGTTGTTGTGGCACATGATATGTTTGATTCCTTTCAGGTCAAAGTTAATCCAAAACCCCTTAACGCCGGATTTTGTAACAAAGGCACACAAACACTTAAATATAGTCATTTCCCGATCTTGTCAAACTGAGTCGAACGATGTATGTTACTCGTCCTCGGATCGAAAGTCGGTTTTCCAAGCGGGTCATGAAAAATAATTTGCAAGATAGGTAAAAAAAATATGACTCCGGATAATCGAGCCATTTTCTCCGGATAATCGAGCCCCGGATAATCGAGCCTCCGGTTAATCGAGCCTCCGGATAATCGAGTCCGGCCTGTATACCTAATGCATTGCTTGTCACAAAATCGTAACCCCCCTTCCACTTGGAGAGTGACATAATATATGTATCACACCTTATAATATTCAGCTCGGTTGTGCATGCCTGATTTTACATACGGCGCGATATAGTAGTTTCAAATATATCATTTCTAGCCATAATCCAGAATTTACGGAACCAGAAACCAATGTGACCATATGGCAAAGGAATCATCACAAATATTCTTTATTGACTTTATCTTATCATGCTAACATGATTTGATGTGCAATATGATTATTATACCGCGATTGTTACTGTGGGCATTACTGTCAAAAATAGTGACTTATAGTTGTTAAAAAAGTGACCTAAGAGAAGAAAAGTAGTCGTTATGATGGCCCACAAAAGCTATAATTTTTCAAGAAACTTGAGGAATCTGGAATCAAATGCCATGCACAGTTTTAAAGGCTCGTTGAATTTTATTATTTTTTTCTAAGGACCTTATTTAAAGGGAGTTCTGGGAGAAACATTTTTCAGAAAAACATCAAATACTATCTGCTTTCAAGGTAGTTCTGAGGAATTTTAGATTTCATGTGAAGCCTGATTGATTGATTGTTTTGTCTTTATTTAGGAGGCTTTCAGCCTGAGGCTGGTTCGCCTCCATTCTGATAGTTTTGAGTAGAATTTTAAGAAACCCTGAATTGAATTAAAAGTAAATTTTAATCAAACTCTAAGGAAATTCTGAGGAACACAACTCCTGTGAACTTCACGGGAAAATTTCAAGGGTATCCTGAGGA